CAACATGGATGGCGCGGGCAGCGAAGAAGAGTTCTCCAAGATGCTCATGGGCATGATGGAGCAACTCACCAACAAGGAGATCTTGTACGAGCCTATGAAGGAGCTGAATGTTAAGTTCCCCGAGTGGCTGGAAAAGAACCGCGAGAAGACCCCGGCAGAAGACCTGAAGCGTTATGAGGAGCAGCAGGCTTTGGTTAAGGAGATTGTCGCCAAGTTTGAGGAGAAAACATATGCAGACGGGAATGCGGCGGACAGAGAATACATCGTCGACCGGATGCAGAAGGTAAGCAATCAAAAAGTGCCCAGGTTAGAGCCCACGCCACTGACACAACGTAGATGCAAGCCGCCGGATCGCCACCTTCGGACTTAGTTGGAGATATGCCATCAGCACAGGAAGCATTCAACGCAGATGAGAGTTGTAATCCGCAATAATAGGAAGCTCGCTGCGGAGATCCAGGATATACCTCTTATTTTCACCAGACTCGTTCATGATGATCGTGACTCTGTAACCCTACAGGAGCCAGTAAAATGCCAACGCCATCCGGGCAGTTGACCCAACGCCAAAAGCAACCATTGTCCCCAAAGCAGTTATTTGCCCAAACCCAAACTCCACAATGCAAACCGGCCTGCTGATATTAAGGCCAAACATTGACTCCTGCGTTTCAGGACATGTCCATTTCCTGGGAAGATGCGTCCGGTACTGCGCTTTCTTGTGACACCAAGCTCATGAACAGCTCGTCATAGTCTTCGTCGTCTGATAGGTTGTAAGGATCTAACTTGGCTGGTTGCTGAGCGTCTGAAGACTGGCTGTAAGACGAGAGCAACGCGTCAAGCTCCTCCTGCTCTTCCTGTGCTATCGCGTCGACCATCATGTCATCGACATTATCAGGGATCTGCTGTCTCTGGTTCTGGCCAAGAGTCGCCGCGTCCTCAATATCCGCTTCAGAGTATATCGCGTCTCCCTCAAGCTGCTTGAAGTAGTACCGTTGCCGCATGTCACGGTCCCAGTCAGACTTTAGAAGCTGTCGCGCATGTCAGCCCCGCATATCCACCCCGATGACCATCGCGAAATACTCACTGTTCCCTCCATGTCCCGCCTCTGGTACGTCTTGTCATCCTGGCGCTGCCTGACATTTTGAAGGAAAGCTTTGCGGCGGTTCTCCTGCACGTCCTCGCGTCTCCGGAGCACCGGGTTCGGCCTCGTCGGTCGCGATGCGTACTTGAACTTTGGCGCGGGGATGGGCGACGACTGGGTCTGGCGGACGGTGTTGTCGCTGATCGGAGAGAGTGGCGATGACGCGCGAATGGGTGATGAGGACAGAGGCGACGGGACGGCGGGTCTAAAGTCCCACGGCGTCCGCTCACTGAATACTACGGGCCCCGCGACGGAAAACATGGTGCTGCTGGCGGTTTTCTTTTCTGGCGTTTTGTTTGGTTGCATGAATGGGGGCTGGTCGAGAGCAAGTCGTAAATCGGAGGTGCTGAGTAGATTATAGAAAGTGGTGGTGTTATTGTAGGTCCGGTGCGTCGTGTAGTAGTCCGGAAGTGGCACGGCAAGGTGGGTGATAGCTCGCGCGTTGGTTGTTGTAATTGCTTAATTGATATCTGGACGCGACTCGGACGCGGTCAGATACGACGTACTTTGTCGTCGTGGCGCACATTGCGTGTGGCTTGAGTGTTTGACACGTGAAGTCCACTTAACGAAGTCCTTCCCCCAATCGGGCAGTGTGACCTCATGCAGTTCGCCTGTGGTCCTGGCGCGCCTGGCCAGGCCATTTCTCTCTCCCGGCGGTTCCCGAACGGACCCCGAGGCAGGGGTCTACCAAGCCGAGCGAATAAAAAAACGGCGCCGCATGGGGGAAAGCTACAGGCGCCACCCTACCCCAACGACCGCCGTGGGCCGGAGGCGCAATGGCAAACAGTGAGAGAGGGAAATTCAGCGAAGGAAGAAAAAAAAAAGTCGCTGCGAAGTCGACTGACGACATGATTTCCAACTAGTTCTGGGACCCTCTGTTGAACAACTCAATCCCCCTTGGCTGCTCCACAATCTGTAGCGACTGTTGAGAAAGCGAACACACGACCTCGACACCGACAATTGGCCACACGGAGAAAAACAAAAGAAATACCAGTACACACACGACCAACGTAGAATGACAGTCGCCGTGGACTGCTCTTGCGATTGTCACACCATTGGCGGCAGCGGGCCAGCGTCCAGATGAAAGCCTTCTCCGTTTTCTCGTCCCCGTTGCGCCGGCTCACCACTCGACAACCATGGACGTGCTCCAGCTGTCGCGCTGGCCCGTCGGCGCAGCCTAGCAAGCAGTCTTTCGCCAGAGGCAACACCCGCGGGTTCTCGTCGACATCGTCAAGGGCCTCGGCAGGCAGGGCGCCACCGAAGGGAGGCCAGAGGGGCAGCAGAGTGCTGCTTCTTGCTTCAGGAGGCGGTGCAGCGGGAGCGAGTGTGCTTGCGTTCGGGGACGACATCAAATACGGTTATGAGGGAGCAGAGCGTGCTGGGAGGGTTGCTTCTGCGTTGGCGGTTTGCATCAACGAGTAGGTCTGCCCTCGACGATGTTCCGCCACCCAGCGTACTGATGGAAGCGCAGTTACCGAACGACTCTAAATCAGCAAGAAAAGATCGAAGACCCTGAATTACAATCGAAAATCCTCAAGGATTGCCACCAGCGATGCGCCGATAGGACACTCAAGGTTTTGGAGAAGAATGGCGGTATCTTCATCAAGCTGGGCCAGCACCTGGTACGACCTCCTTCACATGCAAAGAGTCGCGATACCGCCGCTAACACCGAGATAGAGTGCTATGAACTACCTGCTCCCGCCTGAATGGACAAACACCTTCATCCCGCTGCAAGACAAGTGCCCCGTGTCTTCGTTCGAGTCGATCGAGGAAATGTTCCGGAAGGATACTGGCAAGGAGCTATGGGACTACTTCTCGGAATTCTCGAAAGAGCCCATCGGCGCGGCATCTCTGGCTCAGGTACACACCGCAACTGTCAAGGAGGATGGTGTGCAGGTGGCCGTCAAAGTGCAGCACCCTGGCGTCGGCCAGTGGGCTCCCCTCGACCTCGCCCTGACACGATTCACGTTCTCGACTCTCAAGCGCTTCTTCCCCGAATACGACCTCGAATGGCTCTCCTCCGAGATGGACGTCTCCCTGCCGAAGGAATTGGATTTTAGAGAAGAGGAGCACAACGCCAACCGCACCCGAGACCACTTTGCCAAACTCCCCGAGCACCCCCTCGTCATCCCCGAAGTTCTCTGGTCAAAGGAGCGCATCCTCGTCATGCAGCGGGTATCCGGCCACCGCCTGGACGACCTCGAGTACCTCGACGCCAACGGCATCGATCGCGACGAAGTCTCCGCCTGCCTCGCCCGCATCTTCAACGAAATGATCTTCGGCCACAACGCACCCCTGCACTGCGACCCCCACGGCGGCAACCTCGCCATCCGCAAGAACGAGTCCCGGCGCGGCCTCCGCGGCGGCCACAACTTCGACATCATCCTCTACGACCACGGCCTCTACCGCGACATCCCGCGCGACCTGCAGCGCTCCTACGCCAAGATGTGGCTCGCCGTCATCGACGGCGACATGAAGCGCATGCGCAAGTACGCCAAGGAGGTCGCCAACATCAACGACGAGCAGTTCCCGCTCTTCGCCTCCGCCATCACCGGCCGCGACTGGAGCGTGCTCAACAGCGAGGGCTCCGTCCTGCAGACGCGCACCGCCGACGAGAAGAAGGAGATGGGCGACGCGCTGCAGGAGGGCCTGCTCGCCGACCTCGTCCAGCTGCTCGGCCAGGTGCCCCGCATCATCCTGCTCATCCTCAAGACCAACGACCTCACCCGCAGCCTCGACGAGAACCTGCACACCCGCCAGGGCCCCATCCGCTCCTTTATGATCCTCGCGCGGTACTGCACGCGCACCGTCTTCGAGGAGCAGCTGGAGGAACTGCGGGCGCGCGGGTCGTTGCTGTGGCCGCCGAACGCGTTCCGGCTGGCGTCTGCGTGGGTTGGCTTCCTGAGGGTCGAGTTCAAGCTGGGCGCGTTTGAGCTGTGGTTGAGCTTGAAGAGGGTGTCTGGGCTCAAGGGCGCGGAGTTTTCGGCCCCGGGTATGTGATGATGATGCATTTTGATAAGCGGGTATAGACGTATAGAATTTTAATTTACGTTGTGTTCATACTTGAACATTTGTGTCCTTACCCTTCGTATGTTTGACTTCAGATGCAATTCTTCCCACGTTGGAAGATGAGGACATGAAATCATAGGCGCCGTCGTCATCAAGTGCCAGGTTCGCAGGGAGTTGCCGTAATTCCTCCTACTTCCAGTTCTCATCTTGGTGTTCCTGCAATGCTGGCATCCTTCTTATTTTTCTTGTTCTTATTGTTATCCCTGTTGTCTTTGTGACCTGTACTGTTTGAAAAGTACCAAACATCTGGTCTGATAGCATAGCGAACTCTTTATGAATAACATCGGGGTTTTGTAAGAATTTTCAGGAGAGAAGGCTCGATTATCGATGTCGAGTCTTGATAACTATTTTCAATATCCCTAACTATTTACTGAGTATTATGAGCTTTTAGGGCTGGATTATCTACCTTTTCACGCCTTATCAGTATAAATATCGAACATGACTTCTGGTAAATTTAAATTAGGGCCCTACATATTATATTTTGCTGATCTAAGAGTGGTATGCTTTGGTCAAACTCCTTGACAGTGCGTTTAACCCTGTTGTGGCCCTGCAATACTTCAAGTCCTCTCCTTCGAGCTGCTTCCTGCCGCTGCCTGACAGCTAGTTCCCGCGCTGTTTCATTAAGAAAGAACTTTTCATCTCGCTTCTAGGCTTGCTCCTCAGCTTGCTCCTCAGCTTACTCATTCACTCCATGTTCAACGAGTAATCTCACAACGTCTACATCCCCTCGTTCAGCAGCCGTGTGTAGGAGTGGCATACAATCGGTCCAAGGATATCTTCGTACCCTTTGGTTTCTCTACTCGTTCACATCAGATCTGTTCCTAAATTGACGAAACAACGACTCGAAGTCAACTGGTCCATATTGGTCTGAAACGTCAGTCTTAGCCCCTGCATCCATGAGAATCCTCGTGATATTCGCATGGCCATATGCTTCAGCCCATTGGAGGGGCATAAGCAGACGTGAGTGCCCGGGGTATCCAAACCATCCATCGGAATCCAGGCCCGTGGCGTTGATGTCAGCCTGATGTCCAATAAGTAGTTTCACGATATTCTCGCGTCCTTTTTTAATAGCTTTGTGCAGAGGTGTTGGATCATGCCATGTCCTCGATTCCAGGTCTGCACCAAACTGAATGAGCAGTGCTACGACTTTCTCAAATCCTTTTTCACTAGCTGTATGCAGCGGTGTTTTCCCATGCTCACCGCCAGCGTCTGGGTCTGCACCATGCTGAAGAAGCAATGCCACGACTTTCTCATGCCCCTGTGAAGCTGCCTCGTGAAGTGGCGTGATCCTGATAGTCTGGGAATTCCAGTTTTGATAGAAAGACCAGAGGGCCTCTGTTTCATATTGTGCATCTTTGTCTGCGCCCTGCTGAAGGATAAGTGCAACAGCTTCCCCGTGTCCGCCAAAAGCTGCGTCATGTAGAACTGTGCTACCTTGATCGCACTTGTCGTTGATTCTCACGCCGTGCTTGAGGAGCAGCGCTATGATACGGGTATACCCATTAACAGTCGCACAGTGTAGCGGGGTATAGCCAGTTGAGGATTTGGCGTCCTTTACCACACCCTTATTGATGAGCAGATCTGCAATCTCCTCGTGACCGTTTTGCGCCGCCCAGTGTAGAGGTCTGTACTTCGCGCGATCCCAAGCTTCTTTGTCAGCCTCGTCTTTGGTGATGAGCCATTCGGGTACATTAACCGCTCCAGATAGTGCTGCCAGGTGCAAGGCTGTTCTGCCGTAATTATCTCTTAACCTTTTATTCGAAATCACCCACAGGTTCTGGGTGATAGCCAATCCCCCATTTCGTACTGCCCAGAGTAATGGTGTATTTCCTAAGGTATCTGTAACGTCTAGGTTCGCTCCGGCCTCAATTAACACACTCGCTATGCTGTCATTTCCCTCCATTGATGCATAGTGCAGTGGCGTCTTTCCGTCTCTGCCCTGACAGTTGACGTCGGCGCTTTCACGTAGAAGGTTATCAATTATTCGTTTCCTGTCATCAGGGTCCCTGTCCAATTCCATGCTGAATTGACAGGCGTAATGCGAAGGTGTACACCCGTTGCAGGTGAGGTCAATGGAATTGACGTCAGCTCCCCCATGAAGCAAGTCGCCAACAGAATGCGAGGAGCGTATCCTGGAAGCATAATGAAGAGGCGTCCAGTGATGAATGTCCTTCACATTAGGATTTGGACGCCGAGTGCCATAAGGGTACACGCGGCGATTTTTCTGAGCTCTTTCATGCAGCGTCGTGAAGTTGAACTCTGTCGGCAGCTTGCTGTTCTTCTTAGCGCTGGTGAGGCCATCCTGTTCGTTTATTGCGGCGCATTTCCACTCCCGGCCCTGCTTTGCATATACCACCATGAGACTCAATAGAGCCTGACGGTCAGTAGATATGTTCAGCTCTTTGTCAATGATGTTCTTGGCATCATTCAGAGGCTCGAGACTATTACCCAAGTCCCCTGCCCTCAGATCAATAGCGGAGGAAACTTGTCTCAGATACTCCACCAAAACGGCAGCGGCCTTGGTCAACATGTCTCGTCCCTTGAAAGTTTTTTCCTTTTGAAAAAGCCAAATATATGTCCTAGCAGCCTCCTCCCATTGATGCAACTGTTCATGCTGCTTGGCTTTCTCTCTTGCCATTTCAATTATGGCGTCATCGGCCTGGGGAAGTCTGTGATTTTCGCTCAGCGGCGGTATGACGCTGAGATAGATATCTGCAAGGCTTCCAAGGCCAGAGGGCTCAATTTCCAGAATCATTGCAGACAGAGTTGCGTTCCGGAGGGTGAAGGACTTCCAAGTGCTCTCGCCACTAGTGTTGGGTTGTACGTCAGCAACATCCTGGAAGAATTCCTCCTTTTCGTTCGTGCCTGCTACAGCATACATGAATGCTGAAAAGATGTGCTGAGCAAAAAGCATTGCCATGGAAGAGTACGACTCTATCGCAAGAACGGGCTTTGTCCAAGCATCCTTGACAGAGTCGTCCTCAGTAAATTCGTCACCATCATCGTCCGTGGCTTTATTGGGCAAATCTTTTCGACTGAAACGGATTGAGTTCTGATTCTTTTGGTTTCACCACTCGTTTCTTGCCGGCACACTTTCTGCTGACCATACCCAATAACCGCGTGGGCTTCCATTTCGACAATATGCCCTTGATCATTCTTTTGATTATATCGCTGTTCTTGAGACTCTTGAGGTTGTTCGTGTTCTTGAATTTCAAAGATGCGAAGTAAGTACTTCGGCACCCACCACCGGAGGTCTTGAAGAAGGGCTGTGGTATGTGACCCCAAGAGCCGCAGACCTAGTTCTCTTTTAGAATCCTCCATTCGCAATCGCGCGTCATCTTCCCTGTTTGCTTTGTCCTCCGATCGTGGTCCAAATTTGGGCATCTTGGCTGTTCTTTGCTTATCATCCTTGACAGAGGATAACCACAATGAAAGCACTGCCTCATATTCGTTCGCAAACGCTTTCCATTTTCCATCGGCCTGTTACTATATTTCAAAGTTGACTGAATTAGAGTTGGATCCACCATAACAGGCGTCAAGGGACTAGTAGAAGGTGACGGGAGCATCATGGCCGGTAGATGAATATTGAATGGCGGAATGAGAATGACTGGAAGTATAAACCGTAGAAGCTGGACCAATAGGAGCATGGTCGAAAGAAGCTGAACTGGTAGAAGCTGAAATGATATAATCATGATCGATAGACGCAGGCCCGATGGAAGCTGGTGGGGTGGGGGCTGGTCCGATGGGTGCCGATCCGATAGAATTCGTCCCATCGTCAGAAACAAAAGAACTTGTCTTGGTAGCAGTTGAACTGACACTACATGAATCCGATCCGATAGAAGCAAAGTTCATAGAGCCGATCAAGGTGTTCATCGTAATCTCGATTGCCCTGGCAAGAGATACAGCCTCTGCAGAAGCCGGTCCACTCCATTTGGCCAAATGACTAAGATCCTTCCGGATGTTCAGCACATTCTGGGCGTCTGAAACAGCATTGTTGACTGGTGTATAACCATCCGAAACCATTGAGATGGCGGGATCAGAACTATTTTGACTCTGCTCCTCTCTCTGTGCGTCGACTTGCCTCTTCCTCCGTTGCTGGCGCCCCAAATGCGCTGCCCCAGTATTCGCGATTCTCTATGAACTGTCGAACCCCCCCTCCAAACTCTTTGTGGCACCATTCGTACTAGTTTGTGTAACTTCAAGCCCATGAGACTTTTTGTTAATGCTTCTGGAAAGTTGAATCAGTTTTCAAACAAGTCCGGTGCCAGGTTTTGCATCGTCGTTCCAAGGCGCTTGATCAACATTTCCTAATGTCTCTGCAAACCAGTCAAGATCGTATCCGGGTGGCAATGATATGGCTTTGGGGGGCGTCGCTAGTCCACGGCGAACCCATGCCTTCAAACAGACCATCAGGAAGACGGCACCAAGTTGAGCAATCGAGGCGGACCAGTGTAGTCCTCGTAAACCGACAAATTGTAAGACAAACCCCGTAAGTGTGGTCACAGTTCCAAGAACAGTCTTCAACTAAATGGTTATGGAAGCACCTTTACCATCTGTTAGTGGCAGGCTTGGCCGAGATATAGTGGTGTGCTCTAAGCCATCTGAGGTCGAATGCTCTCCCTTGTCTGTCGCGGACTGAGACTGTTCAATCTCATCCTGTTCGGATCGTCTCGATGTCGTGATGAACGTTTGATCATCCTTCGCATATATCGCAAAGGGTCCAAAGACCTGGTCGCTGACTGTCTTGGTTTGTTGTAGCCAAACCATCCGAACCCTTTTGTTCGTCCCTGGTTTCGCCTGAAATCGCTTCTCCGCCGTACTACTTTCCACGACGCGGCCGCATAACATTATCCCAACTACCAGAACAAATGTTCCGGTCGCAGCACAAGGATACGCGTAGCTAGCGATTGGATTATCGTCTTTCGGGAACTTCAAGATCGGATGATAGGTGGCGAATCCAGAATATACAAGGACACTATTTCGAAGGATCGTTCCAAAAGCTGCAATAACGCGTAACTCGCTTCGCGACGATTGACGATGCGTGTTTAGTGAAATATTCGGCGCGTCTAGAGACACATTCCGTTTGATTATGATCATGTCGTCGGATCGTTGCGTTGTAGTGTCTTCTGAGTCCTTGTCGCCTGGGTGGCTTCGTGAAGCTCGCCATCGATCAATATCGGCGTTTGTGTTCAAGTCTAAGAGGAAAGTAAGAGCCCCGTCATCTGGCGAAGAAAGATATCTTACCGAATCGTTGAACATCTTTGTCATGATCGTCCAATGCGCTTAAATCTTTGTCCACCTTTATTTCAGGATTTCTCTGACTGCCTTTCTCAATGGTCGGTAACAAACAGATGAACTCGGTGACCGAAGGCGATCCCATACACCTCATAACCTCTTGTCCATTCCACAGCTCACAGACTTCTTGCGAGGTTGACGACACGAGCTCGGCCTCGGCAACTGCGAGGTTCTCCCGAGCTCTGCCGATCACCGCTTTAAGCCAGGACTGGCCCCCTACGCGAATAGCTCCCACAATAGCAGTAATAACACCAAGAGGAGCCATTGCGAGGATGATGTTATCGGCCCAACCCATTGAAACATTCATGAATTGCGTAATCACTCGTTCTTCAAAGAGCGCCAGCAGCCTGAACACAGAGAAACATTCAGTACGGAATACTTGAGAGAATGAATCCGGCAGACTTACGGTCCCAGATCCGAAAAGAGATTGTTAGCAAAGTCATCGCCTCCATCTGCAAATACAGATCTTGCCCGCAGCAGAATGAGAAGAAGTAGCAGCTTCCTGCTGAAAGACATGATGTCTGAGTAACCATGCAATAGGCTGCCGTTTTCGCATAGACCTCTCACCCAGCGCATACTCGAGTTAAGCGCCGCAACCCATTCCTCGTTAAGCCACTGCACATGCATGATTTGGCCCTCATTGCGACCTCAACACGCCGCTCGCGCCGTATCCAAACCTATCATGAACCTTGACAATATCCACCCATCGGCCATGGTACCACTGTTGGTTCGCTGCTGACACATTCGCCAGAATTGGACATAATCAAAACTTCAAAAGCCTGTGCCTGCTGTGTGTATGTTATGTCGGCAGTTGCTTGTGCGACCTAAGACGCGCTGCTGTGCCAAGACCGGGTACCGCTTTAATTAACGGTGCTTGATTTGGGTTCTCGTGAGGATGACAGATACGGTACTGTGACGCACGACGGCCTGCCGGGCTATACTGACTGAAGAATCTTGCAGCTGTAGACCTCTGTCAATTGTCCTGCCAGCCTCGGGGAGCTTGCTTTCCTGTTTCTGGGTCATCTTTGAAGATCTCTTGTTGACAGAAGACTGGCGCTTTGGAAAGAATCTCCTGTAAGTCTGCGTGCAGCACGATCCCTCGGAACAACAAGTTTCCAGTTAGTTTGTCCAAAGTTTGGAATTGTCCAAATTGTTTTGCGACAAGTTTACAGCTGCAAGACGGCTGGCAATCATGTTGTTAACCAGGGGAAAGCTTGCCTTCTGCTCTGAATTTGCGGCAGATAAAAGACTTTATGGGTCCATTCAGACGCGTGTTTCTTCAAGGACCAGGTACAAAGACGCAGTTTCAATTAAAAATTGTTGGACTCGCGAGAAAACAACATGATAGATGTGAAAAGTAACAAACTTCATCTCTACTGCTGTCCCCTTCCTAGCCTGTTGACAAAACTGGTGCACTCCAAGTAACATGCAATTGCACATCAAACTTGTAAGCTTATTGAAAGCTTGACCACATTTCAACATGAAACCTTGAGCTCTGCAACTGCAGATGAGCCCCAAATTATCGTATTTGTCCTCGGAACCGCCACTCCAAGATTTTCTTTGTTGTCATCCCAGTAGGTTTTCAAATCCTGTAAGTCCATTTTTAGACAAGCATACACCGGCAGATTCAGGAAAGAACCACAAACCTCGAATGCCATGGGGAAGCCACTGATGGGCACTGAACGATTGACGCCGAAGTAAACCTCAATGCTGATCGGTACGTCGTTGAATTGTTGGTTGAATTCGATTGGAAGCCTGAAACATCGGTTGCCTGCTTGAAATGTTTTCTTCTCTTGCCGATCTCCCTTGACTTTGAAGTAGTGAGTGCGATCCAAAATACGCCTCAACGCCGGCTCATTGGGCTGGAACTGACATCCGATCCAACCCTTAATTGAGTAGATGTCATTCATTCGAAGCTCGTCGATGGAAGTGAGCTGGAAAAAAAACATGCTAGAACATATCTTATCAGCCAAGAACAACAGAAGGTCTGATCTATAGACCGAGCTCGCAGGTTCGCGAGTGAACCACGTTTTCCCCTCTACTGCTTGAAACTTGGCTTCGTGTGCTGTCTTTTCCATGCGACCAATTTGATCAGTGGCATCAAGAGCTGGCTCCTTGCCGTCCCTGAACTCAACATTGAGGCGGAAGGACTTTTCCTTGATTTTGGGCATTTGGCTCTCAATGTATTGTTCCCATGCAGTCTGCCCGTTCATGGAACTGATGAAGGCAGCCACTAAGGGCTTAAGCCAGTGAGGAGAACGTGTTGTTGTTCCAGCAGTTGGTACGTCTGCTGGATTGGCTGCGTAACCAGATCCGACAGACAAAATCAGGTCGTATCTAGCTCCGCTACCCCACAATTTGTTGCATTCGTTGATGGCACGTTGAACAGGGTTGTTGTACAAAAGCCCTCCATCATGACAATCAAGCCCATTATGTGATATTGGCTTGAAATACATGGGGGCAGCAGATGTGCATCTCGCACTGTCAGCAAGATCGTCAGCCATAGGCCCACAGCTCCAAAGGTGGGGAAATTCATGAAGAATCGCCGGACATGTCCATGTCTGACGTAGAAGAAAACTCACGCTCTCCACAGCGGCAGCTCAGACCTCATGTACTTCTCCGAATCTCCAAGATTGTAGTTTGCTATGAGCATGGTCTTGCTCTCGACGGTTGTAGTTACTGCCACCCTAGTGGAATTTGTACGCCCAAAGACCTGTGTTGGCTGTGGGCCGAATGCAGAACGAACTGTAGCCTCGAATTGAGATGTTTTGTAGATAGATCGTCTCATCAAACGGGCGATATAACCCATTGCGCGAGAGGTTGTCAGAGGTTTGGCGTGGAACCCGTCGTCGCAAATCTTTCGGAAAATTTTGATGCAGTCTGACGCGGACCGCTGCTGTATCCCGAGGCCGAGAGAAATCATGCCACCTTGCCGCGCATTAGTCAATGATCTCTGGATCATATCCGATTCAGAGCTTCTCGAATTACATTACAGGCTCAGATTCAATTACTTACCAGCGCTGGTGCCAACCATGAGATCGAAGAATCGCCCGATCGGAACATCGAGACCAACAAAATCCTCTAGACGCTTGAGAATCGTGAGCTCGACAATTCCACGAACGCCACCCCCATCAAGTGAGAGGACTCGTAGGCCTGAAAGGGGAGGCCGTGTCTGAATGTTGAAAGGCCAATTCGGTCCGCCGGAGGCTTTGCAAATGACACATTCGATATGAGTGTGATTACCTGGGTATTTGCAGTCGTCAGATGTTGAATCGAAGTCTTCTAAACAGTCGACGCAAAGCTGGTGAGAGCACGGTAAAACGAACTCAACGCGGCCGAATAGACATCCCAGACATATCTTTGGTAACGTGTCGTTGTTTGCAATTCTTTCGGACTTCGAGTCCCACCGAGGATATCCCTGAAGTTGACGAAGGGCTGAAAGCTGCGCCTTGTGTCTCTCAGCGACTAGTGTGCGCCAGCTTGTTTGGCGTACCATGCTGGGCGCTTTAGCTTCATCGATCGACTCCATCGTTTTCCGGAGAGTCGAGTGTATCAGTTCGAGGAAGAGTGATTTGTCAAAGACACCTTGGACAAACGGTCCATCGCTCAGGATAGCGCCAGTCCTGCTCTGGTGGCCCAAGGCATGACCATACCTGAGGTTGACACATCTATCCCCAGTCTGTGGATCGACGAACCCACAACGTCTGTAAACAATGAGGAAAGAATCCACAGCTTTCATACAGATTGACTTCAGATCCCCATTGAATACAAAGTCAGGATGTGAAATAAGCTCTAGGAGTGCGAATAAATGTCATTATGAGGATTTCAATGAGGTAGGAAAGACTGCCTCCAGCTTCATCAAACTAAATTTGGTGATGAAAATGCTACTTACTGCGCCCTTCAACTCGAAGGCTGTTCAGCAAAATGCTCGTTGCTAAGACACCTGTCGTGGATTCAAGTCTTTCCTCTGGGTTGTCTTCCAAGGCATACCGAATAAAGCTTGAGAAGTTCTCCTCCAGGCTTCCAGGAATAGAGAGTTCTTTCCTACACTTGTCGAAGTCGAATGGTGCAGAATTGCCGCTAGCCAAGTGTTGGAAAGCAAACTCCGTGACGAGGTTCAACTGTCTGACATCGAACCGGGTCCATGCCTTTTGTCTGAGATTCTGAACACGGATAGAATCGAATTCTACCCGGTGCGCAAGTTTCGAGTATTGCTGGCACATAATCTCTGTGGTTCCCAGATCCCCGTAGCCTTCCTGAGGGATGTAATGGACATGAACACTAGAGAAGCTCTTTTCGAAGAGCTGTCTCATTGTCGAGGATCCGTGCTGTGGGGTTGACGGAGTTAGCATTCTGGCGGCTGTGGAGTGTCGACACACAAGTATTGAACTACTTACAAGAGCAGCTAGCTTCCTTACTCTGGCATTTTCCGTGATCTCAGGATCGATAGCTGAGAAAAAGCTGGACGTGACTGCATCTTCATCACCAGATAGCCAGTTTTTGTTTTGAATGAATGGCCCATTGAGAACAATGATGAGAGCAGGTAGCGACTGCTGGTTAATAGTGCTCTGTGCTCCGATCATGGACCAATCCAAGAGCTTCAGGGCAGAGTCTGCCCATGCCTTTTGATTGCGCATCACATAACAGACGACATCGCTGAAGATGTAGAGGAAGCGTGGGTAGAGCTCTTTGACGGCAGTCCTCCTGTCCATCACAGATCCGTCCTTGGTCTTCACCAGGTAACACCTACCATGTTTTGTCCACTCAGTCTGATGCTTTGAAGCCACAGGTTCCGTGCCAAATAGCCCCTCACAATCTGCAAAGAGTCTTGGACAGTCACTTCCAAATGTTGCGGGATCCGGGTAGAGATTGACTTCTCCGGTTGTAGACAGAGCAGCTGTTTCGATATTGTCGTCGGCAGGGACGGGGGCTTCGGGAGCGCCAAAGCGATCGAGTAGCTCTTTTTTTGCTTGGAAAATCAGAGAGCGAACTGCAGCGCGTTAGTAGGCATCCGCAAACACGTACATAAGGCCTGCTCATAGCGTAATTGAGGCATCGTCCTCCATTTTACGTCGGACAAGGAAAGATGAGTGAATCAACTCAGGATATCAGTAACTCACCAAGAGTGGACTTCCCAGCGTTTGTTTCTCCTATGAACGACGTGATGCTCGGAAATTGGCGCTTGGGACTGTTTCCATAGAATTCCATTGACCGTTCCATGAGCAGGGACAATCTCTTGGTCTCAACGATGGTATTTACTCTTCCCGAGGGGTTAACCACCGTGTGGAGGCCAAACCATTTGGATGCTTCATCGTCCCTGAAGCACTTATCTCTCTGACTTGGAGAACTCATTCCCAAGTTCTTACCGGAGACCTTAGCCCAGAAGGCAGTCGAACGTTTCGATCCACCCAGCCGATGAGTTGGATGGCGCTTCAAGTGTTTGTTCTGGAAACATGGCTCGCAGAACTTGTTACTGCAAGAACAAGTGACGTCGCAGGGCTGTTCATCGCACTTCTCACATAGATCGACAGGAAAGCTTGATTGGCGACTCATCGTAGAACCTCATCAAGATGGATTCGATAACAAAGAGAAAGAAGTAGGTTCCACAATAGTAAATTACAAAGCAGGGGGCAAGATGGAGAAGCCAGAAAGTGTGGGAATACTCGTTCAAGTCAATGTCAGTAAGGAGAGCAATGTTGTGTTATAACTCTCTATCCCTGGAATTCCATAGCCTGATTTTCGAACGTACACCAGGATCCTACCCTCCCAGCCACTTACGCGTGAGCTTCCAGAACATATTCTGCCAGTTCACTCTGGAATCACTGAGCTGCTACAATGGGCTGAAGCCTGGTCCCGTTGCCTTCTCAAAGGCAACTGAAACAGAGGCGCTAGAATGAGACTGTTCCACCACAGCTCAAGTATTAGACCAATTGGAAATGATTTCTTCTCCAGCACACCGCCTCTCCATGCAGTCATCTTTGGGGGTTCAGCGACAGTCGCATCAGCAGCTGCAGTTTGTCAACGCCAAATGGCGGATTCCATAAAGTCAGCTGAGATATGGAACAAAAGTTCTTAACGCCACAATTCTCAGCCGTCGATCTTGTTCGAAATTAGTATCTATTCATGCATCACAGTCCGACAAACTTCGGTGCATATGTCGTTATCTTTGAGGGGCGGTGGCGGAGTTAAAGGCGTTCTAGGGTAAGGCGGCCACAGCCTGCTCCCGCACACCGTCATGTTACTGATGAGAGAGTCCATAATGGATGGAAATTTGGCATGTCGTTGGGTCTATACACTACCCCAGCGGTGAAACCCGTGTTTCCCAACGATTCAACAAGCCATGACCTGACTGCTGAGTGTGGCTCAAACCTTTCTCATTCAGCTTGCTGCCATCGTCAGCTTCGGCGATGCGAGCGTATGCCATCCCCGGAACATCTCCTGAGTGACTGAAACATGTCACATGGTAATTCTAGGCCCCTCTGCCTCTGCCTGTCACGTCAAGCTGGTTATTTGGACGGCGATGCAGAGGATTAGAGATAGCCCTCTTCGTCGCTCGAGAAGCTAGCTACTTTGCGTTTCCGGCCTCTACCCCCTCAAGCCCTCTCACACCCTCTCTTAAAACCTTACAAATACCTTCACTTACCCCTCTCTTAGGTAGCTTTATACTATAGATACTAAGGGCAGTGTTCTACTGGCTGCATTTAGCAGGAACCACAACTCCCATGTCTCGGTCACTAAGGAGATGTACAACAAGTAGCGATACAACACATAGAAATGTATCAGTTTCGCATCTCTGCCGTCCTGTCCTCCAAGTGCCGAACAGAGGCATCGTCAGCTTTCTCTTCTAAATATGATCGCCAGCCTACTACACGAATGGGTCATCCGTATGCTGCGTTGATGAACTAAGAGCACAGATAGAGGCCAGCCAGACGGCTTGATGAAGTTTCTAGCCTAATGAAAAACCAATGGGTATCTTCAAAATCTCACCGTGTCACCCGTATCTTGTCCTTGTGTAGGGCCTCTCGCACTATCGAAAATCCAAGTCATTCAGAGCCGTTCATCGTCACTCGTCATCCCCCATAGAACACGTGAAATCACGTCCGCATTTCCGTCCCACCCACAGAAACGGGAAACCGCAAAGCAAGTATGGATCAAGCCATCTAATCAGGTGCTAACGAACTACAATATCAGAATTTTTTGAAGCTTCTTCAGTTCCGTTCCAGCCTTTTCAACTACAAAATTCGCGGTTGGCGAGAAAAAAGTCTATCCTATCCGAAGTTCGAACCCTACGCGCCTGCAGCCCACCAGCACACGACGGGATAGACACAAAGAAAGACCTTTATCTCAAGCGTTTATCAAGAGGAGGAGAGCCTTTCAAGAGTTAAGGCCTGTCTCGAGCAGACAAATATAATGTTTGAAATCAAGACCAGTGCAGGGTACAGTCAAACGTGTCTTTTCTTCTTTCTGGTGAAGCCAGGGCTCTATTCATAGCCTTAGCATAGCAGGACTCTACGCATCCTTTATCGTAAACCTAATATTCAACACACTCGACCCCCGATCCGCATCAAACTCAAACCCCTCCGCCGGCCCAGGCTTATCCGCCAGACTCTTCGGCTGGATCATCCCCCACACCACCGCCTCCGTGATCTCCTTCACGCCCAGCGTATCCTTATGCTGAATCAGCATCCACGCCGTCCCCGCGCCGTGCGTGCTGCCCAAGATCGCGTCCCCCTCGCGCGTGCCCATCTTGAACGTCACGCGGTCGTTCCACCCCGGCACGCGCTTCTGCCCCGACTCCTTGAGCGCCTGCAGCACGAGGTTGTACGTCGGCCCGTAGGTGATGTGCGCGCGGAAGACGACCTTGAGGCTCTTGGGGTCGACCTTTTTCGCCTGGCAGCCGAGCAGCCACTGGAAGAAGGCAAAGTCGGAGAGCGTGTCCATGTCGGGCACGGCGCCGAGGCCGTACTCCTTGACGGCGTACTTGGGGGACATGTTGACGTCGAAGATGAGCGCGCCGGCGGCGGGGTTGACGACGTTGCTGTAGGAGCCCATCGACGGCTGCGAGAAGTCAGTATACATTTCGGTGAAAAAAAGGCCCTCAACTCCAGGGAACAAAGTGGAAAAGGGCCCTCGGGCTGTTTCACGCACCTCCCCCGTCTCCCCGTTCGCCTGCTTAAACTTCTTGTCATGATCATAATAATACACCGCCCCGTTCTTCTCATCCACGGGAAACGCAGTGTCACTCATCGCCTCGCTGAGAAACTTCACATTGCTCGGCTTCAGCCCGCCGTCGTAGGGGTACCACCACGTATCCAAACTCCATCCCCACTGCGCGGCCCCGGCGGGGTCCTGGTACGGGCTCACCACCGACGCGCCGTCGTTCGCCGCCGCGGCCCCCGCGTTGTCCACCGGCATCAGGGTCCGGAGGTACTCGCCCTTCTTGACGCGGCCATCGTAGTCGGCGAGGAAGTCGGGGAACGCGCCCGCACGCCTGGAGAGCGTTTGCGGGGGCGTGGGCGACGCGGTGAGGCAGACGGCCTGGAGGAGGAGGAGCAGGAGCGGCAAGGACAGGCTCCGCAGCCTAGAAAAGAACGTTGCGCTGGACATCGTGAAAAGAGCGGCACTTTGTCACAGCAGGATCAGTAATCAGAGTGGTCACGGAGCGGGGGGACTCGGGGATGATTATGTGAACACGGGCTCGCCATCTTTTATTGACGATTCACGGAAAGTGAAAAGACTGGATCGTCTAGTCCTGCGCAGAGGCTGACGACGGGATAACCGACTCTCAATTAATGATCATTTCTATATAAGGGGGGAGGGGGAATAAGGTTACGTCCGAACTCATGTTCATCTTATAGCTAAAACGTTTGCGGGGTGTGAGCAATAGCATATAATACATGATTGTAAAACCTTTTCTTTCCGTATGAAATTTTCTTGTGCAAAAAGAACCTTCGTTCGTAAATGACGGAATTGACTCGATCAATGCAAATATAGAGCCGGCACGGGGCGACCGTCTCTGAGGCCAGGGGGAACGTGGTTCATCTGTGGGGCTTGGCATTTTGAACTACCATATAGCTTTCACGACGTAAAAGGAGGGGATGAGGAACGAGTCAGCCGTTCAGAATCAGACTGTTTATAGTCAACACATGCCGAATTCGAATCGTGAATCAATCAAGCCAAAAGATGAATGTCAAAAGATGGAATTCTGGCTGTCTGCAGCATTACCATACAAATTCCGCCACCCATCATCTCCCGTAACCCAAGCCATGTTTTCCCAATTCATTCCCCCGAAAGAAATCCCGATCCAGAAACACAAAACCCCGCAACCATTATATAGTACAATTACAAAAACAAGTCCGTCGTGAGAAAATCGACACGTGAACTCATGAATACGTCGCTACCAATGCTGAAGGCTGTGATATGCTGAACTAGTAACGATGACGTCTGGAGCGCCCAGCACCAATGTCAATGCGGCTCATCTCCTGCATGAGAGCCCACTCGCTCTCGCTAGCGTTGTTGGCTCCGCTCATGATGGGCAGAGGGATCTTCGCCGGGATCGGGGGACCACCACGCATGCCGCCGGGGGAGCTTCCGTATTGAGGAGCGTGATTCTCACTGGGGTAGTCCCACGTGCTCGCGCGTGACATGCGAGGCGGCGTAAAGTCGCTGCCGTGGTCCTGGTAGTTGTGCGAAGAGATGGGGGCCAGGGGACTGGATCCCGCTGGCGAGGTGGAAGGAAGAGCAGACATGCGTTGCGTCTTCTTCTGCAACCGGTTTCGGGCGCCACTGTTTGGAGCGGGCGGTGTGTTGTACCGATCCGAGTCGTAGGAGACGGGCGATACCTGAGATTGCGGCCGAGCCGCGATGCGAAGCTGACGACGACCGCTTGTAGGCGCAGGCTGGGGAGCCATTGAGACTCTTGATCGGACGGATGCTGTAGCTGGGGTCTTCGGACCCTTCGGCTCAGGCTCCGGCGCCCAAGTGTCCATGGGCAGGTGATCGGACGGATCAATCTCACGGCCATCGTGGGTGATGATCTTCTCATCGGGGTCGGGCCTGGAGATGTCGCTGCCAGTGGCGGACAATGTCGGGTTGAGCGCATCATATGAGTCGGGACCGAAGGGTACGCCAGATAATCTACGATGATCCGGGGGCGGCGCCGGACTGACCGACTTGCGCTTGATCGTGTGGGACGGGTTGGGGGACATTCCTCGTCTGGACTGCGGCGGCGGTATCGGTGAAAGGCCACGTGCGCGATGTTGAGGATGAGGACTGACAGAAATGCCGCGTCTCATATCGTGGTGAGGATTGGGCGAAACACCGCGTCCTCTCAGATCGTGGTGGGGGTTAGGCGAAACACCTCGTCCCCTCGTGTCGTGGGCGTAGGGGTTCGGAGAGGCGCCGCGGCCGCGCATATCCTGAGCGTAGGGTTGGGGTGATGCGCCTCTGCCTCTCATGTCCTGAGCATAAGGTTGAGGGGAGGCACCTCTTCCTCTCATGTCATGAGCGTACGGCTGCGGTGAGGGACCTCGTCCTCTCATGCTTTGATGCGGGGGCGCAGGCGAAGGCCCGCGTCCTCTATGCATATCACCACTGTAAGCAACAGACTGTCGGTTATCGTGTCGCGGCGGCATGTAGGTCTGGTCGTTGTATCCGGGATGCTGCCTACCACGTGTCGGCGTCGTGATACTCTCGGTTGTGTAACGCCTTGTCTGACGTCGGTCCTGGTAGATGCGGTCGGTGACATCTTGTGAGAGGCCGGGATCGACTCCTGGCACCAAAGAGGCAGGGACGGAGGGCATGGTCGTTGCCTTGATCTCAGTTCCCGAGAGCTCGGATCGCTGCGAGACATACGAGTTCTGGCTGCGAGAGTGATAGTCTTGAGGGCTGGGTGCGAAGTCTCTGGTGGCGATGGGAGACTGATGTTGGCGCACCATCTCATCACCTCTGATATCCCTCGTAGCGATGGGCGACACTTGGTGACGAACCATTTCATCACCTCTCGGGTCACGCATAGACATGGGAGACACTGGCTGATGTCGGACCATCTCGTCGCCTCGAACGTATGGCTGTGGTGAAGTGCTGTAGTGAGCAGGTGAAGCATTGCCTCTTCCAGCAAGCACCAACTCATCACCTCTAGGTTGGTACTCCGGCTGCTGTCGGTAGTCCTGCTGATAGTCCTGCTGGTACTCCGGCTGGGGAGAGGTGCTGAAACGACCTGGAGAGGCTGAGCCACGGCCCGCAAAAACAAGCTCGTTGCCCTGAGGTTGATAGTCTGGCTGCGGTGATGTGCTGTAAGGACCTGATGAAACCATCTCGTTGCTCCGGTCGTAGGCAGGATTGGGCGATTGGCCACGCTGGCGAGATCCCGCACTGCCTCTGCCGCCAATGTTCAACGGCGCCGGACTTGGCACTTGATCGTATCCCTGATCTTGTCCTTGTTCTTGGTATTGAGGTGCGCGAGCAGGTTGTCTAGGGCCGACGGCCAATGCTTGAGGTGGAGGCGGCGCTGGCTTCTGATCCTGTCCAAAGCCCAGTTCGTCATACGGAGGGGCCCGCGAGGTTCTTCGGGCGGTGGTCTTGTTCGCAGGTGTAGGCGATTCTGGAACATCCTCAACCGTTGGCTGCATAGACCTATACTCGGCATGTCCATCATAGGAGTGGTGTCGGGGGTGAGACTGCTCCTGGAAGTGATCCTCCGGAGCTGGCAGAGCGTGTCTGACCTCTGGAGCAGAGTCAAATCCACGGTACTGCGGTCGTCCAGGGTATGCTGCCGTAGAAAACGACATGCGGTGCGCCTCGTTTCGGAGGACATCCTGTCTCATGGCCGCATTTGCTGATTTCGGCGGGGTGTCGAATGAGCCCCTCAAGACCATATCCTGGGAGTTTCCTCTGCTGCGGTGAGCAGGAGGCGGCGGCGGCCTATCATCCTCGGTTGCGGGTGAGTTTCTGGAGTCCTCGAGAAGGTAGGAATCGCGGGGCGGTGGCTCCGAGCCTTGACGGTAGTGGGCTCGATCGACGATCTCTTGGGAAGCATATCTCGGGCTGTAGTCTCTCTCGTCGTGCTGCGAAGTGGGGCTATCGTAGCGCTCGTGCCTCGTGGGAGTGTGCTGAGGTGTCACCTCGGCGGGGTGAGGTAGGGCAGCGGGTGACGTCGGCGGAGGTAGCTCTGTCTGGCTGCGAGAAGCAGGAGTAGCGTGGTACTCGATAGCCTGCAATGGCGACTGCGTCGGCACTTGTGCGGGTGCGGGCTTCTTCGTGGGCATCGGTCGGGAGCCTGACAGACTCGGCTGCTCTCTCGGTTCTGGCGCAGGCGACGACGGTGCGCTCATCTCCTTGGGTCCTCGAGGGCCACCAGCGCGAGGCGGGGTCGGTGCTTGTTCCGGTGACGGAGCGGCGGGGGCCTCGCCCGTGAAAGGATCGGAGGGCAGCGGGCGTCTCTTGATCTGCTTTCGAGGGATCGTTCCGTGGGATGCGTATGTCTCAATCGGCTCGGCCTCGACAGGCTTCGGCTTCGCTACGGGCTTCTCGGGCTTTGGCCGGATATCGTAGTATGTGATCTCCATGCGAATCTCTCCGGCATACTTGCCCTTGAAGGTCAAGTTGCGCCACAGGTCGTTCTGTCCGCCGCCGGGAACAATGATGTCCCTGAGGTCGACCCAAGTCTCTCCAATGAGGTCCGTCTTCTTATCGTCGTGGAATACTGACACCTTGAGCTGGTAGTAGTCTGGGGAGTCGTGGACGGCGAATCGGAGCTCTTGGTCCCTGCAGAGTAGCATGTTAGTTATTGTCGGCGGGCCATGGATGGGCTCGGGGAAAGTGTCGGTACCATTTGGGTGTTTGTCCTCCGCGGATATCTGTCGTCGTCTTCTTCGCTTCCTTGCCGAGGCGTGCTGCACAGTAGGGGTCCTGCTTCCCCATGGTCTTGCGGTTGGGCAAGTTCTTTGCGCGGTCGACGATAGCGACCAGGGTGCCGATCAATGGGCCATCGACGCTGGGGTCGGCAAAGATGCCGGCCGTGTGCATCCCATTGAGTGGGTGCGATGCTTTCGCTTTGGACGTTAACATGTTTTGTGTTTGCTGTATCTGTGGTGTTGTAAGGTGTTGTTCGATGGGGCAGGGTCAATTCGGATGCCGTTTCGGGTTGACAAGGCGACGAAAACAACAAAAAGTGAAGCTGCTGGCAAGCCACACAGTGATGCGGATGCTGCTAGAGATAGGAAAATGCTGGCAACTCTGAGATATAGAGAGAGAGCTCGTTTACATTGACGGCTCGGTTCGTCTTCTTTTTCTTGAAAGACGGATATCAAAACAATGGCTCCAGGCGAGAGAAATATGACGATAGGGCAGAGACACACCCAACGGGTGAAACAAGGACGATGTTGGCGATGGAGAGAAAGAAGGCAGGGAGCCAGCACCCGAGTTTGCGTCTGAGCCGAGGAATGAATGGCAAACGGCGACGATGACGGGGTGAGAGGGGGAGGTGAAGAGAGGAAGTGAGGGTGAGGGAGAAGAGAGAGTGAGTTTGTGCGTGCGTGTGTGTGTGAGAGAGGAAGAAAGACAGACAGACACCGGGTCAGATCAGATCAGGAAGAGCAAAGCTAAGC